CAATGTCGGGATTCCGCCAAATTTGACCCCACCATAGCAAGGCAAAACACGAAGGGTGTGCAACAGAACAGCAAGGGGAGTAGAGCAAGGAAATCCCAAGGGAATACCAAAAATAGAATTTGCGGCCAGGGCATGGCATCCCATCAGATTTGACCAGAAAACACTCCTAAAGGTCAACAAACAGACCTTGAACTATTTACAGGCTTTTCTTTTTTTGTCATTTGTTTTTTGTTGTTGATGTTTTGTTTTCTTTTGTTGCTTTGTTTTGTTCTGTCTTGTTTTTGTGCATATCTCTGCAGGTCTATCTAGATAAGATAGGCTGGATATACAATGTGGAGAAAAAAACAATGGTACCCATGGTTCTGGGGGGTCATGGGAGAGGGGGAGGTGGGGGAGAGTAAGTGGGTGTTAACAATCTCAGGGAGAAGGGAACAACAAGTGATCCAAAATCGGAGGCAAGGAGGGTGTAAGAGGCCTGGTAGGGCTGAATCAAGGGCAATGTAACTGAGATGAATTACTGAAACCCAAATGAAGGCTGAACATGATAGTGGGACAAGAGGAAAGTAAAAGGAAATAAAGGAAAGAACTAGGAGCCAAAGGGCATTTATAGAGGTCTAAAATACAGGCATGTACATATGTAAATATATTTATATATGATGTTTGGGAAATAGATCTATGTACATACATTTATAGATTTAGGACTAAGGTAGCAGATGGACATTGGGCCTCCACTCAAGTACTACCTCAATGCAAGAGCACGTTGTATTATTAAACAGGCATTCTATGAAGCTCACTTTCCCGACACAATCGCTGAAGACAAAGTGGGTGCATAAGGAACTGTGGTAAAGAAAGCTGATGGTGCCTGGCTATCAAAAGATATAGCACCTCGGGTCTTAAAGGCTTGAAGATAAAAGAGTGGCCATCTAACTCAGAAGCAACGGAGCCCACATGGAAGAAGCACACCAGCCTGTGAGATCACCAGGTGTTGATTGGATCAGGTATCTGGCATCAAAGAACAAAAAATCATATCATTGTGAAAGATTTTATTCTTTTACCAAACTTCCTCAATCTTTATCCTGAGCAAATAATCAGAGAAACTGGGCAATATGAAGAAGAACACACCATCAAGCTGGGAGAAAGCCACATTAATAATCTGTTATGCAGATGACATCACCAATGATGATTATCAAAGAAAATAGGCTTCAGTATGAATTACAACTCAGTGTGAAGACAACAAAAATCCTTATAACTGGATCAATAAACAACATTATGATGAATAGAGGGAACATTTTCAGTTTTTAGGGATTTCATTTTACTTGGATCGACAATCAACATTCATGAATACAACAGTCAAGAAATCAAAGGGCATATTGCACTGATCAATCTGTTGCAAAAGACCACCTCGTAAAAATGCTTAAAAGCAGAGATGTCACTTTGAGGACTGAGGTGTGTCTGACACAGGCGGTGGTGTTCTTGATCACTCCACGTGCATGTGAAAGCGGGACAATATATAAGGATGCCTGGAGAACAATTGATGCATTTAATTGTGGTGTACACTAAAGTATACAATCTACCTTGGATTACTGCCATAAAAACAATTATCTTTTGGGAGAAATACAATCAGAACAATCCTTAGAAGTGAGGATGGCGAGACGTCATGTCATGGGCCTAACTACGGTATATCTACTATAATTGTCTACAATACTCTCTACTCGATAACAAGGCATATTCCTCAACTGTGATCAGAGGGAATTCACAGGAAGCTTAATCCATGTGTGGATCCTGCCAATGGATTTTGGTTTTCCACTGTTATTCATCGCCTCCTGCAAACCAGGTATTCACAATTTAAGCTCTGATACCATTCCCTCCTTTAGATTTAGATTATATTATTTACAATCCTTGGATCACACAGGCTGGTGTGCTTTTTTCCATGTGGACTTAGTTGAGATGGCTGCTTGTTTTAAGATAAGCCTGTAATTCCCCAGACACTATTCTTTTTGATAGCCATATCTTCAGTGATCACTTCATAAGGGCAAGTATTGAGCAAGACCTATCATAAGAGCTATTTGTTTTTATATTAGGATTTATAGTTAGGTTTACTATGCATGTATTTCAAAGGCTAAATTGAAAAGTGATCAGAACACATCATGTCAAAATGTAGAAGAAGAATTCTCATACAATTGGTGGTATAACACTTGGGAAAACCATTGAGAGTTTCTTTAAAAGTTTCATATATATATATATTATATATATAATTCTATTATGTATATAGTTATATACATATAGTAATTTTACTCCTAGGTGTTTACCCAAGAAAAATGAAATCACATGTCCATACGAAGATTTGTACAGAAACACTGTAAGGATAAATACAGGATCTAATAAGGAAAAAAAAAATCTTCCTGGAGCAAGCCCTCCTCCCACCCCAAAAGGAAAAATTCTCCCCTCCCTTTATTAGAGCATTTACTTATAAGAATGCTTGTAACTGTAAATTCTTAAAGCTTTTAAAAAACAAAATAAGCTCTGTAAAATAAGCCAGTTATGTCTTTCTCAAGAACCTGGGAACTATCACTTTGAAATGTAATCTTCAAAGAAGATAAGGCCCTATCTCCCAGTTTCTGTGGGAGGGTAGGGGCTTTACTTTGGCTGGCATCTGGCATCAAATTACAAACCCACCTCCTGTCATAGAGACATGGGGAGGAATGCATTTTCCCTCTAGATAAAGACAACTAGCAAGCTCAAACAGTCACTCCAACTACCAGCTGAATTTAGGATGACCAGTGTGCTGTCAAAGCCACTTACTTGGGGAGGACTAGTTATCACTTACCCAGGGAACAAGCACACAGTGGATTTCATCTGCCTGGCTACACTAAAGGATGAGATTTTACCTTGTCTTTCGCAGTCTCCTTAGTGGACGGTCTATGAGACACCTCCCATCCTGGTTTAATGTTTATTCAGTGATAAAAACTGTTTCCTTTCTCTTTTACCTTTGTGGAGAAGTGTCCTGGTCTGGCAAGAGGTTTTGTTGTTAATTTTATTCTCAATAACACTCATAGATGCTTTCATTGTGTTAGTCAAAAATGAAAACCACTAAAATGCCATCAACATGTAAAGGCTAAATGAATTGTGGTATAACCATGAAATGGAATATTACTCAGTGATAAAAAGGGAGGCTTGCCCACACATGAAATGACAAGTAATGAATCTGAAAACAAAGCTGGAGGGTGGGGTGAAGGGGGAAGGCTATTCTACATGAAACTACTTAGAAGTACAATTCTAGAAAGTGCAAACTAATTTACAGTAACAGAACGGCTATCAGAAGCTGATTATGGTTTCATGAATATACCAAAAAATATCCAATAATATATTTTAAATATGCTTAGGTTTCCTGTTTGTCAATTATACCACAGAGCTGTTAAGAAATACACATAATGAACAGTGAGAAATGTTAAAACTGAGGAGAATCCTTTCTTTTAATAGGAAAAAGTTAACATTCAAATTCATGACCAGCATCCACAAAAGGAGCGTCCCTGGATGATGCACCCAGTTAAGCAATCAGCTACTAGCCAAAAGGTTGGTGGTTTGAACCCACCCAAAGGTACCTAGGATATAGGGGACTGGCTTCCAACAGGTCCCAGCTATGACAACCCATGGAGCAGTTCTACTCTGCACACATGGGCTTCCCGTGAAGAACTGCCTCGAGTGCACACAAGAGAAACAACACCCACTTTTAAAGGGTATCTTTTACGTATACGCGGGGCCCCTGTCATCAAACCATGGAACCTCTCCTTTAAAAAATCAATAAAAGGTGCACAGTAAGGGTTTGGCCATGTATCTTCCTTAAGTCTTGTTCTAACGCAGTTTCCTGGAAATCCCAAGCCAGGCCATCAAGCTGATGCCAACCCGTAGCAACCCTATGAGACTGAGTGGAACTGCTTCTTAGGGTTTTCTGAGACCATTTTCTAAGACTAAGAGCTGACAATCTCATCTTCCTCCCTCAGAGCAGCTGGTGGGTTTGAACCACTAACCTGGCAGTTGGGGGTCCATTGCTTAGAGGAATCATGAACTACTCATTTCAAGTATCTACCATCATGCCTAGCAGGAGTATTGTGGATGGGTGGAGGGGTGGCTGCAAATTCCATCTCATAAGCATCTGTTCTTAGATTAGAAGGCAGGGCTACCCTACTTCCAATTTCACAGTTGCGTTTCAACCCTGATCTACTTTGTCAACAAAGGCATAGCAATCAGTTGAAAGAACACAAAAACAAAACCCAATTCTAGGTATCCAGGAATCAAATAGCTAACACTCATTCTCCCAGTGAAGAACACATGAAAAAGGTTGGGGGCAGGGTGATAGTCAGCAGCTATCAAAGACAAGGTGTCACTGATGGCACATGGTCCAGTCAGAGTTCTAGGGATGGCCCGGGCTCTCTCTCCATGCCCATCACCATCGGGCACTCCTCTCTCTAAGGGCACACACAGGGATGGAAGTCATGTCATTTCTTTGGAAACCACAAAAGTCTCATCACAGACGCAATTTCTAGAGATGGCATTTGTGGCTTTCTGCTTTCCCAAATGATCGTAATCATCGCCAGTGCTCGGTTTCTGAAGGGCAGGCAAACAAGAGCAGACACAACCACGGAGGGGGTAAAAAAAGTACTAACACAGGGATGGAAAAGCTCGTGGTGTTCTCTCGTTGCGATCTCAAATTATAAGAGAAAGATTTAGATTAAATACTAAGCAGAAATCCTGTATAGATTCCTTACAATTCAACATGACAAGAAAACATTTCCTCTTAATCTTAATGATAAAGCAGGTTTGCTTCTTGTACTTACATCTAATGAGACAACGGGTCTCAGAAGAACAAAAACAGTGGAGATTTATTTAAACCTGGCAGGGATGTAGCAGCCAGACAGTTGGCTCCATGGGGTAAGAGGATGACCTGGGGCTCAGTGGTCCTCTTGAGGACGGCGTGTTGGGTCTGCCAGTGGGACTCTTACCTGTAGATAGGGTCCTGCATCACCAGCATCTTGCTCTCATCCCAGGTCCACTCCTTTTTCTGCAATAAAAGAAGCTGTAAATGAATAAGTTAGGCTTGTCCTCAGCTACCAAACCTGGGCACACGTTGAGCTACTAATGCTTAGGCAAACATACACAGTTTGCTCCTGGCCTTTTTCCCTCTAAGGGGCCGGGAGTTGATTGCTCAAAAAGGACAAGTGGAAAATGTCAAGTGTCTAATCAGATCAGTTTCCTTCAAGCACTTTAGGAGAGCATCTCTCTAGGGTGCTGAGGGTAGGCAGAAGTCAAGAAGACACCCAGGGATTACAGGCAAGACTCTAAATCAGAATTTCATGGGGAAATCACCAGAAAGCAGGCTGTCAGATGCAACTAGATGTAGGTCCACTGTCCCTCCCTCAAAGAAGAAGGGGGGAAATTCCACAGGCTGGAGAGCTGGCAGGGGCAAATGCCGAGTTACTCAGAAAAGGAAGCTCACCGAGGCTGTGAACCTAACTTATTGTGAACACACAGGAGACCTTTTTCGGCAGCTGGAGATGACGACAGAAATGGGGAGTGGAGGAAGACAGTACTGGAGTCACCTGGCACTTGATGAGGGAGGAGAGAAGCACCCCAATGTGGATGGCTGGACTCAGTACAAGAACAGAGAATCCTGCCTGACACAGGCCTTTATCACAGGGACAGTGCTGTGTGGCCAACTATGGAAGAATGTACTCACCTCTCTATGAAAGAGAAACCAAAGGCAGAGAAAGGGTAAGGAAGTACATAGTAAATTAGTGATTGCTTAATGCATGCTTTTGGGTATGTGGGTTTCCCAAAGATCATAATGCACAAGGTAGACACTCTCAGAATACATCAGGGTTTGGAGAACGTTTGACCTTCACCAAGGGCTCCTTGGTAAGCCCAGGCCTTGAGAATGACATTAGAAAGACGCATTTCACAAATGCAGTATTAAATATACCTAGCATATACGCGCACACACACAGCTTTTAACTCTAAATTTTTATTCCATCTATAAAACACCAAACCAAACTCACTGCAGCTGACTCATGCTAACCCCCTGTGGGTTTCCCAGGCTGTAACTGTTTATGGGAGTAGAAAGCTCAGTCTTTCTCCCTTGGAGCTGCTGTTGGTTCGAACTGCCCACCATTCGGATCACAGCCCAACTTGTAACCACTATACCACCAGGGTTCCTACATTCCATCTACAGAGGTGAATTTTAAATTGGTTTATAAAACATTCAAGATCAAACACATTTGTTCTTTTACAGGCATTATTTTAGCTACAACTAAGAATTTATTTTTATAAAAACTCTTTCTAACATTGCTACTCACTGCTCTATGATTTTATGCCCAGGTGAGCAACACAGAGCAAACGGACTAATGCCTTTTCTAAGACATCTTTCTAAGACTAACGTCTCTTCAGATATTTAAATGAAGCAAGATCAAACCTTTTTCTTTGCAATAAATATTTCCAGATTTTGTAAACATTCCTCACCTGACAAGCCTTCTGGACTAACCACTACCCTAACTAACTTAGCCATTTTGCTGGGTGCTGCAGAGGGAGAGGCAAATCAAGCCAGTTCCTATCAAATAGCTCTGTTTGGTGTGATGGGCACCCAAGTGGCAAGAGCACAAGATGTAGCAGGGAGACAAAGGGTAGAGGCATCCGCTGAGCTAGTGGAGGTCATAAAAGCTGAACAGATGTATTAGTCTGGGTAGACTAGAGAAACAAATCCATGGACACACATATGTATATAAGAAAGAGATTTATATACAAAAGCAATTGAACATTGAGAAAACATTCCAGCCCAGTCCAGATCAAGTCCGTAAGTCTAATATTAGCCCATATGTCCAATACCAATCTATAAAGTCCTCTTCAGACTCATGAAACACATGCAATGATGCCGAATGCAAGAAGATCACAAGCCAGTGGGTAGAAAGTCTTTGGATCCAGTGGCATTGGAAACATCTCAGCGCTAGCAGGGGTCTCTGCATGGCTTCTCCAGCACCCAGGGCTGCAGCAGGGTGGGTCCATGTGTCTTGTCAGCTGCTATGTCTCCCAGGGTGTGATCAGAGATTTTCTCACCTATAAGGAGGAAATACTGGAATTCCCAGAAACCTTAGGGGAAGGCTATGCCCACACAGAAGCCTCATTGGCTATGACCTAATTGACAGGCTAGACTCCACCCCAACCTGCTTAATCCTTAAATTGACAATTGTATAGCTACTACAACAGACAAGTTTGTTGTTAGGTACCATTGAGTCGGTTCCAACCCTTAGTGACCTTATACACAACAGAACCAAACACTGTCGGTCCTGTGCCATCTTCACAGTTGTTCCTATGCCTGAACCCATTGTTGCAGCCACTGTGTCAATCTAGTCTCCTTGAGAGCCTTCCTCTTTTTCACTGCGCCTCTACTTTACCAAACATGATGTCCTCCTCTAGGGACTGTTCTCTCCTGGTAACGTGTCCAAAGCATGTAAGATGAAATCTTGACATCCTTGCCTCTAAGGAGCACTCTGGTCTTACTTCTTCCAACACAGATTGGTTTGTACTTTTAGCAGTCCATGGTACTTGCATTTTTCTTCTCCAGCACCACAGTCCAAATGCATAGATTCTTCTTTTGTCTTCCTTATTCAATGTCCAAATTTCACATGCATATTAGGAAATCGAAAATACCAAGGCTTGGGTCAAGCACATCTTAGTCCTTAAAGCAACATCCCTGTTTTTCAATAATCTAAAGAGGTCTTGTGCAGCAAATTTACCTGATGTACCACGTCATTTGATCTCTTGACTGCTGTTCCATGATTGGAATGACTGTGGATCTAAGCAAGACAAACTCCTTGACAACGTCAACCTTTTCTCCATTTACTTATTGGTCCAGTGTTGGGATTTTGGTCTTATTTACATTGAGTTGTAATCCATATTGAAAGCAGCAATCCTTGATCTTCATCAACAAGGTTTCAAGCAAGTTTCAAGTCCTCCTTACTTTCAGCAAGCACGGTTATGTTATCTGCATATCACAGGCTATTAATAAGTACTCCTCCAAGTTTGATATTGCATTCTTCTTCATATAATCAAGCCTCTCTGATTATTTGCTCAGTATAAAGTGGGTAGAGCTTGTAGGCAGCAGAAAACCAAAATCAAAACTCACTGCCATCAAGTTTATCCCAACTCCTAACAACCTATAGGGCAGGTCTGGAACTCTTTACAAGAGAAAGCCTCATCTTTCTCAGAGCAGCTGATCTTGTGGTTAAGAGTCCAATACCTAGCCCACTATGCCTCCAGGGCTCTTGGGCAGAGAAAAGGGCATACACAAAAGCAGAGGCAATCTTAGAAAAGTGGCAGCAATTCCAAATGGTTGGATGATGGATTCCCTACCACTCCTCTGTGTACCACTCCCCACTCTGCTAAGTAGCATATACATTATAGTCATTATTTCAAAAACTTAGCCATTACCAGGCTATACAGTCAGAGCCCAGGTCACAGAAGTTCAAATGAACCAATCCCAAATAAGAAAATGTTTACTTCCAAGAGAATAACTAACACTGCACTACTCCCTCTGATTCCTGGCAATCACTACTCTGTCTTCCATCTCTGTAATTCTGTTCTTTCAGGGATATGATACAAATGGACTCATTTGGTAATCAATCTCAGGGAATTGGCATTTTCCACTCACTATTATAATTCTTTGAAGACTCAACCAAATTGCTGGGCATAAATAAGTCATTTTCTTTCTGTTGCTGAGTAATATTTCATGACATGGATAGAGCATAACTCCTTCAATCATTTGCCCTTGCAGACACTGGGGTAGTTTCCAGTTTGGGGCTAGAATGAATAAAGCCATAAACATTCATATACTGGATTTTTGTGTCAATGTAAGCTCTCATTTCCTACAATAAATATCATTGGGTACAATTGCTGGGTTAAATGGTAGTTGCATGCTTAGTTTAGTTGTTTTTGAAAGAAACTGTGTGTTTTTCAGAATGGTTGTACCCTTAAATATTCCCACTAGCAACAAATGAGTGGTTTAGTTTTCTGAATCCTCACTAGCATTTGTGTTGACATTTTTTGGGTGGGGGGCAGGGAGAGTGGGGGAGAGGGTGGTGGCAGAAGATAAGAGCTTAGGTTGTTAATATGCAAATATTACGCTTTTCTAATGCGTTTAGTGTTATAATTTCACTTTCAGTTCTGTTTTAGCTGGGCCTCAAACATCTTGATATGTTGGATTTCATTCAGCTGCAGTTATTTTACCTCCATTGGGACTTATTGGACCCATAGGTTATCCAAAAATCTGTAACTTCATTTTAGTGTTTGGATATTTTTCTGTTATCTCCCTGTTACTGATTTCTAATGTGATTCCATTATAGTCTGAGAACACACTCGTTATTATTTTAGGCCTGTTAAATTTGTTGAGGTTTGTTTATGGCCCAGGATATCTTGGTATTGTAATGTGGGCACCTAAAAGAATGTGTACTCTGTTATTGTAGAGTGGAGTGCTGTATAAATGGTATTTAGGTCTTGTTGGTCAGCGGTAGTGCTGAGTTCTTCGATCCCCTTGCTGATATTTTCATCCAGGTGTTCTGTCAGTTACTGAGAGAATCAATTTGTAGATAAATTTCTTCTTTCAGGTCTGTATCACTTTTTGCTTCCCATGTTTTGCTCCACATCATTCTACTCTTTGGTGCATACACACTTAAAATGGTTATCATTTCCTAGCAGATCGGCACTTTTTATCATTATGTAATATCTTTCTCTGGCTGTGGTAATTTTCTTTGCTCTAAAGCCTACTTTAACTGATGTTATAAAGCTACTCTTGCTTTCCTTTGATAAACATTTATACAGTATATTTCCCCCCACCTTTTTCAACCTAGCAATGTCACTATATTTGAAGTGAGTTTCTTACAGACAACATATAATGGACTAACTTTTTTATTCCTCCCACTGCAGATGTAGTACTTTGTGCTGTTTTGAAAATTGGTACATTTTATCTAAATCATCAAAGTTATGTGAATAGAGTTATTCACACTGCTATTTTCATTGGTGCTGTCAAGT